ATAATCCAATGTGGCGTAATGCAGTATTCAAGCTGTTTATGTAATCTTATAAAAACAATACTGTTTTTTTTATTGTTAGAATCTGAATCACATGTATGGAGGGACCAGGAAAGGGAAACAGAGGATGTACAGAGTATCCTGATGATACTATCAGCCAAGATTCCCAAAAGACATTTATTTTAGTAGAAGCATTTGGAGGAAGAAAGAAAAGATGCTCAGTGTTTAGGGAGAGGAATTTGTTCCAGGCATAAGAGATGGGAAGGTGCAAAGCTTTCCGAATGGGGAAATGGGTAGGAAATAGAAATGGTTAGGAGGAGGGCACTGAGCTGTAAGGATGTGGAGCTTGAACTTGATTTAAAAAAACAGGAGGAAGGAAAATAATATATTTTGGGCCTGATCTTTAAACAAGTTAGGTGTGAAAATGTTTGCCTAATCTGAGTGTACAGTTACTTTATTTAGGGGAATTTTTCATGAAAATGACCAGAATGAGCCATTGGCAGGCATTTGCCCCATTTGCATTTATGATCATGGCAATAGTGCCAGGGCCGGCTCTAGGTTTTTTGCCGCCCCAAGCAAAACATTTTTTTGGCTGCCCCCCACCCCAGCCCTGGGCTCCTCGCCCCACCCGCACCCCCTGCCGCCCCAACCCTGGGCTCTCCCCTCGACCCCACCCGCACTCCCTGATGCCCCAGCCCTGGGCTTCCCCCCACCAGTGCTGACTCTGCCCACTCCCCCCTCACCTCCAGCTGGTCTGGCGCTGGCGCGGTCGGGGTAAGCAGCAGGGCTCCTGGGACCCGGGAGGGCAGAGCCGGGGGACTGCCCGGCAGAGGGCTGAGGAGCCGGGGCAGGGCAGCCCCAGACGGAGTGGAGCCCCGAAGAACGGGACACAGGTGGCATGGCAGCGCCCCGGGCACTGGTCCCCACTATGGCCCCGCTGCTGCTCCTGGCCGCCCTGCCGCAGTCCCTGGGTGGCTCAGGCCGCTTTGCCCAGCTCCGGCTGCGGAGCTGGGGGGCGGCCACCCTGCGGCACCCGCAGGCAGCTCTGTGCGCCCCGCAGGGTGGCCCCCAGCCTGAGTGTCCCGCGCTCGGAGCCTGCCCGGCCATAAGGTGCGGGCGCTGCTCCCCGACGTGAACCACAGCGGCCCCAGGGCGCCCCCCGTGCAGGATGCGCTGCTGCCAAGGCCAGCTCTAGGCTTCTGCCGCCCCAAGCGCAAAGAAAAAAAAAAAAAGACTGGCTGTAATGCCGCCCCTGAAAATGTGCCGCCCCAAGCACGTGCTTGGTTTGCTGGTGCCTGGAGCCGGCCCTGAATAGTGCATGCAAACTAGGCACATGCAATTGCACGTGCATTTTGGGTGCTTAATTTTTTTTAAAATAGGGCCCTTTATTTCTAAAGTTGTCTCTTCCACCCATCAAGAGTGTGCAGTTGCCCGCACAAACAAAAAGAGCAGTAGCTAATACACAAAACAGATAAAAACATTCAATTCATGATGAGACCAAAAAGTAGCTAATCTGGTAACATATGTAACCCTCAAGAAAGGCAATCGGTTGGAATTTTTTTATCTAAAGAAATGATCTGAAACAACAACTGCCAACATGCAGGTATTGCTTCATCATGAGCATTCAGCTCTCCCTCTCTAACCAGGAGGAGGAGGAGAAAGGGAGAAGAGAGCCGTAAGAGGAAAAACTGGTTTCTTAATTGACCTGGGAAGAAGGAGGAGAAAGAGGATGATGATATGGACTGCCAATATTTCCAGCAATATGCCTGCAGAGCTTGGGAGCTAGCTTGCAGGGAGCAGATGAAATGAGTTTAAACAGTATGCAATGTATGATGGGGGAAAAAGATGGAATCCATAATAATAATGGTACAGACTATAATCTATATAGATTGGTGAGTGTTTGGAACCCAAAACTGGATCCTAATATTGAAGTTTGAGCCCATTTCAGTCTATACAGAATTATCCTTTATTGAACATACTGGGACAAATTCTGCTCTTGTTTACCACCCATAACCCCACTGATGTCAATGAGGGATTAGGCATGTGATGTGAGAAGAATTCTCTAATAGATTCCCTTTCTTAACCCACACTCATAAAGAATCCCCCTAGCATTATGTGCTACAGGTAAAGAAGCAGTGGCATGTGGACTATTATATATATCTGTCATACATCTATTGTATTGTATTGTATTGTATTTATTAGCTTACAATCACAAATCAGACATTTTGGGAGGGTGTGCGGGGGAGAGGGTAGAGTGTGGAGGCATTACCCACAGCTGCTTCAAAGAAAGAGTTTGGTTCACTGATTCTTATAATAATCCCCTCTCATAAAAGCCCAATTGCTTGTCCACAACGTCATCTCTCTACTTCATTCTTAATCTCTGCTACACCATGTACCTTGCTTTGCAATTTAGACAGGAAATGAAGAATAGGACCATAGAAGAAAGCAATACAATTATATAATTTAATTAATGAACTCATTAAATCATCTGATTTGTTCCCATGCAAGCGTAGCATATACCCCCAATGTTCCCCACCCCTCAAGAAAGGACATATCCAATATTAAACTGATACACTTGCTTAGAGTCAAAAATAGGGAACCTAAACAGCTGAATATATAGGAAAAACAAAGAGAAATAAATGACCTCTTAGGCAACCCTAAAAGCTCACCAAGTTTTAAAATTCATCTCCCATAAAAATGATAAACTAAGTCTCAGCAACCAGTTTCCTGGCAAAACACCTTCCAACTCCCAATATACAACTATTTTTCTTTCCTTCCCCCAAAAGGAAAAGTTAAAGGGACACTGTCAACTTGAAAACTAGTCAGTTTCAAAAAGTGAGCTACAAGTAGTTTTAGATACTACACCCATTCTTGAGTCCCCTTTGACAATTTTGATGGTTTGACTATCATGTTTTCCTATTTTTAAGATGTTTTTCTTCCCCCTGTTGCTGAGTGAAAGATCCACACACAAACAAGATGGGAACCAACTGGCTATATAAGAGAAACAGTGGAAGTGACATGGTGCTGTCAAATGCACATAGGAAACAAAATGGAAAAAAAAAACCACCTTATCAAATCTATTTCAGTTATACACTTGGCAAGCATTTTCACACAGAAAGGGCCTGATTCTCAGAGATGTTGTAGGTACTCAGCACTTCTTGGGATCAAGCCTAAGATTTGTATAAAAGTTGTTACACAAAATAAAGTTGTGTGTAGTATTGCAGGCAGTTGAAATCACAGAGCTAAGCCAAAGTGAAGGGACTCTGGAAGATCAGAAGCAAGAGACAAGCTTGATGTAAATTACCTACTCCTTCCCACTGCTTGACAGCTGGTTGGTAGTGCTTCTCAGGGAGTATAAAAGATTTTGAGAGCTCATTCTTGTTGCCTCCATTGGGGACCCAAAACTCTCATTGATTTAGGAGCTTTGAGAAGCAATATGGCCCAGAGGAATGAGTACAGGGCTGGGAGTTAGGAATCTTAATTCTGGCTCTATCATTTACTCACTAGGTGGCCTTAGGGTGATTTACTTCAATTATATGCCTTAAGTTTCCTCTTCGATTCAGGCTATCCCCTTTTCATAGGCCTCTTATGAAAAATCGCTAGTTACTGCTTATATGATGCTTTAAATACACAGACCTATAGAAGTGTTTGTAGGTGAAGAAGGTGTTCAGGATCAAGTACTGAGACTTTCGAGTATGGTAGAATCATCAGGAAACATCAAAGGCATATGCTGTCAAAATTAGTGTGACTGACCCACTTTCTTCATTCCCCCCTTCCTTCCCAAGACTGAATTTGAAAGTCAGCATATACTGTGAATTATTTTCACTCCTCTCTTTTCAAGTAACTGTTGGGAAGCAGTAGTTAAAGTTGGTGACTAACTCTTATTAATTTTTTTTATATCACAGTAGATCCCAAAGGGCCCAATCATGGGCCCCAATGTGCTATAGGCTGTACAGACAGGTAGTAAAAGACAGTTGCGACTCCCTGCTTTTAACACTTGATAATCCAGTTCAAGCCAAGATTCAACAAGTGAGTGTCACAGACAATAGAATGGGAAGAGGTGACGGGAGAGTAGTAAGATAATATAGTGATATAACCTAGCAATGTGCAGAAGTTGATGGTTCAGAATCTTTTAAATATTATTAATTGTTAGTATTTTAAAGTTTCTCTATCATCCCATAGTCCCCCAGTCTTCCTTGACACTTCCTTACTAACTCCCCCTGCTCCCCATCTACCTGTGGAAAAAGTGACCCTGGTCTCTCTGCCTATTATATTTACATCATTAAATTTTAAATGTATGCATTTATTGTTTTCCTCCTTCTGGACAGTGTTATTATATATATACAAATTCTCTCAAAGTATTCCCCCCCCCCTTCCCTGTACATAAACCACTCCTTCCCCCTTGGGTGCTTTCTCTTTAATCATGCTTACATTAATTTAACTACTTAGAAATGGCTCACCCTTTCTTCCAATCCAGCAGCTTCCATAAACATCCTGAAAAGCAACCTGATCAGATGTTTCTGCTCTAGGCAGTAACATGGATTTTCTTTTCTAAGCAGTTTGGAGAGAGAGGGAGGGACAGGGGGAGAGAGAGAGTGTGTGTTGAGTTTTGCTGCCTGCTCCTCCCACAAGATACAACCTCCTGCTGCCAGTGCTGTCTGCAAAGCAGCATTTCAAACGTACTTAGACTTAGCCTGTGAGAAGTGAAGAGAAAGAGATCAGACCCTAACGGAAGAGGGTGGAAAGTAACACTCGGGATTTATCTTTTCCATTGATCTCTTTCCTATCATATGGATTTTACAAACTACACAACCTCCCCCAGAGCCAGACTTTTATCATGAGAGCCCTGAAGCTGGATCTCCCCTCTCTCCCCAAGTGATCAGAACTTTGAGGGGCAGGCACCAGCTGTCTTTAATGGTAAAGTATTTATTCCTGCTCCCCAGCCCACTGGATCTCTTTACCTCCCCTCCACAGGGAGCTGCGTGAAGGAGGAGAGGAGAGAGATGCATGTGGTGTGGCTCAGGCAGCCTGCCTCCTGGCTGCTGGTCCTGTGGCTGCGCTGCATCCTGGCTGATTTCACCTTGGACAATGAGGTGCACTCGAGTTTCATCCACCGGAGGCTGCGGAGCCAGGAGCGCCGGGAGATTCAGCGGGAGATCCTCTCCATCCTGGGTTTGCCCCACCGGCCCCGGCCCCATCTGCACGGCAAGCAGAACTCTGCCCCCATGTTCATGCTGGATCTCTACAATGCCATGTCGGTGGAGGAGGAGACGGCAGGAGAGGAGGGAGAGGGATTCTCCTACCCTTACAAGCCCATCTTCAGCACCCAGGGGCCACCCCTGGCCAGCCTACAGGACAGCAACTTCCTCACCGAGGCAGACATGGTGATGAGCTTCGTGAATCTGGGTGAGTCTCTAAGCCCCGTCCCGGGGAGCTCTGAGATGAGACTTTTTTTTTTGCGGAGGAGGGAGTGCCTGAGATTGGGATTAGTGCCTGGGGGCGAGATGGGGCAGATCTCTCCTGTGGGCAAAGGGAGGACAAGAATCTGATGGCACAAGTGTCTCTGATAGGGCCAAGTGTCTCTAATGGTGGGCACAGGTGGCAGGTGGCTCCGGTGGCAGGGCAGGGAAAATAAGTAGCCCGAGGAAAAACTACTTTTTTGTGTGATACGTAAATGGCAGTAATATTGAAATTCAGCCGGGCAGGGCTCAGTCCCTATTTCACATCAGTAGGATTTTTACAAGCTCCTGTATTGTGCTGAATCAGCTCTCACCCCACATGCCGAATTCTGCCTCCTACCCCTGCCACTGGTTATGCTGCCGGTCCCAGAGGTGGGGTTCTCCGGTGCGGGGCTTTACAAGAATCACGAGGGCTCTGGCCCGCATATTGAACCTCCAAGGAAGATGTGAAACCAGCACAAAGAAGTGGGCTGTAGCCCACGAAAGCTTATGCTCTAATAAATTTGTTAGTCTCTAAGGTGCCACAAGTACTCCTGTTCTTTTTGCGGATACAGACTAACACGGCTGCTACTCTGAAACCAGCACAAGACCATGAGCTGCCGCGTAGTTCAAAGCCCTGGGCTTGGAGTCCTGTAAATGATCACCCTGGCACTCGAGCGGCTGTAAATGGATGGAGTCCAGTGGAGCAGGGAAGGCAGCATTAACTAAATGGAAAGGGCCAAGCTGCTGAGAGTCTGTTTTCTTCATTGGCTGAGAGGGATTCCGTGGTAAATCCTTATTTACTCCTGCAGCTCTTTCTATTGACCGCAGTTTTAGGCAGCGAATTTGCCTTCTTTCACAAGCACATGTCTGTGGATGGGTTTATGCAAATGACGGGAAAGTTGTCACCTTTCAATGCAGCTCTAGGCCTCTAATTGGATGCCCTGGTCCAAGCTGAGTTCTATTTGTCTGCTGTAGATTGTATGGCCTTTTGGACTAACTGGTCAGGCTTTGAGTAAAACGCTGTCATGGCCAGCATTCTATTTTAAATATATAATTATAGGTCGGAGTTTGCTGTATCCAGTTTTAGCACTCATCACGTGTGGCTCTGAAACCACCGAATGTACAGATTGGGTGCCTACAATTTCAAGACCAAATCTGAACCGTAGTTTCAAAACAGGATCAACTCAAACTTTGCCTTAATGAGATGCAAGAGGGATACACCTGATGCATAAAAATAATAAACTGGTACAGATTGCAAGCACCCTTATCTTTAATACTGTAAAAAAAAATCCATCATTGTCTAGGACTTAAGGGTTGGCACTATGGTTCACACCATGGCCACCTAGAACTTCCTGGTGGCAACAGAATTTGAACCATAATCCTTCTCCTGGCACTTGACCTAAAGGAGAATCACTAGTAGCAGTATAAGCTCTATGCCACACAGTTGAATAGTTATGATTATATACAGTTACCATTCCCTTGCAATCTTGGTGATACCTGAAGATGGAGTATTCTATGCTGGACTACCAGTTTCCATGAGTCACACATCCATATTAAATACCATGAGCCTCACAGGAGGGCTCTATGAGCTACATTTGGCCAGGGTCTACACTTTTCTGAAAGTGATAATAGGTTCCATTTAGAATTATAATGCTTGTCTAATCTCTTTTAGGTATTTAAACCAATCATCAATAATACCTTTTAAAATCAAATATTTGAACATAGAAATTACAGTTGGTGGTTAAATATTAGAGTTTAAAGATAAGAGATCACGTTAACACTGTGCTTGCTGGTACCTTAGTTTTAAGTATAAAGTACAGTCTAAGGCTGAGAATGCGGGGACACTCAATAAGCTCTAACAGAAAACAAAGGATGTTGAAATAATGAAACTAAAATTCACACTTTTCTTTTTATATTCTAAAAGGAGGATTTTGTGAAAGGGATAAATAATTAATATGAGTCAACTCCAGATAAAGAAACATTTATCTCCAGGGGAATAATTATATCCTTTATAAAAAGCAAAGTTAGTTCCAATGTAGCTTTCATAAGTACAGCTCTAGGAACCCAGTCTCATACTCATTATGTAAGGAAAGATCATCTTTGAAGTCCATGGCAGTTTTGTATAAAACATATTAAGGTTCAGGCTCTAAAGTAGATTATATCGCACACAGACATTTTAGCCCAAAGTGTGATTATAGTGAAATTAGTCAACATATTATACAATATAGAACAGGGGTCGGCAACGTTCGGCACGCGGCTCGCCAGGGTAAGCACCTTGGCGGGCCGGGCCAGTTTTATTTACCTGCTGACGCGCCAGGTTCGGCCGATCGCGGCCCCCACTGGCTGCGGTTCGCCGTCCCGGGCCAATGGGGGCAGTGGGAAGCGGCGCAGGCGAGAGATGTGCCAAACGTTGCCGACCCCTGTTATATTCTTTGGATTACCCTAAACAATTCCTCCCTCTTT